AAAAAAAAAAAAAAAAAAAAAGAAAAGAAAACAGAAAGAGAGGAGGCTAACAACCTAATGGGTCATCTCAAGCAACTGGAAAAGGGAGAACTGTCCAATCTTCAAACCAGCAGAAGAAAAGACATAACCAAAAATATAGCAGAACTAAATGAAACTGAAAACAAAAGAATCATTTAGAAGATCAATAAAACAAAAACTTGGTTGTTTTAAAAGATTAATAAAATTGATAAACCTTTGGCTAGACCAACCAGAAACAGAAACATAAAATCTCTAATAAATCAGAAAAGATAAAGTAGAACCACAGAAATACAAAAACTCCTTAATAATTACTGTAAAAACTATTCTCAGAAATAGGATAATCTGGAGGAAACAGATTATTACCTGGAAGCATGCCACCTTCCTAGACTCAGCCAGAAAGAATTAGAAATTTTGAATAGACCCATATCATGCACTTCAGTGCATCAACTATATGAAATCTCCCAAAAAAGAAAAGTCCAGGCCCAGATGGCTTCACATCAGAATTCTACCAAACTTTCAAAGAGGAACTAGTACCTATATTACATCACCTTTTCCAAAATACAGAAAAGGAAGGAATCCTTCCCAACACATTCTATGAGGAAGTATCACCTTAATCCCCAAACCAGGAAAGTACCCAACAAAGAAATCAAACTATAGACCAATTATCATTAATGAATATCGAAGCAAAAATATTCAGTAAGATCCTAGCAAACAGAATTCAATAGTACATCAAAAAAATTATACACCACAATCAAGTTGGTTTTATCCCAGGGTTACAAGGTTGGTTCAATATACGTAAATTTATAAATATAATACACCACATAAACAAAATGAAAAACAAAGATCATATGATTCTATTAAGTGATGCAGAAAAAGCTTTTGGTAATATCCAGCATCCTGTTGTGATTGGACACTTACGAAAATAGGCTTAGATGGAACATTTCTTAAACTGATAGAGGCCATCTACAGCAAATCCACAGCCAATATCATATTAAATGGAGTAAAACTGAAAACATTTCCACTCAGATCTGGAATTAGACAGGGATGCTTATTGTCACCACTGCTATTCAACATAGTATGGAAGTCCTAGCCATCGCAATCAGACAAGAGAAGGGGATTGAGGGTATCCAAATGGGGTCAGAGGAGGTCAAACTCTCAGTCTTTGTGGATGACATGATTTTATAACTGGAAAATCCCAGGGACTCAACTATAAAGCTCTTAGAAGTGATCAAGGAATACAGCAGTGTCTCAGGATACAAAATCAATACTTTTAAATCAGTAGCTTTTATATATACTATATATATGGTCAAGCTGAAAATATAGTCAAGGACTCTATTCTTTTTATAGTAGTGCCAAAGAATATGAAATACCTGGGAATTTATCTAACAAAGGATGTGAAAGATCTTTATAAACAGACCTATGAAATCCTGAGGAAAGAAACGGAAGATGTTAACAAATGGAAAAACATACCATGCTCATGGCTGGGAAGAATGAACACTGTTAAAATGCTCATACTACCCAGATCAATCTACAGATTTATTGCAGTCCCTAACAAAGCACCAATGTCATACTTTAAAGAACTTGAAAAAATAGTATTTTATTTTATATGGAATGAGAAAAAATCTCAAATAGCCAATATATTACTTAGAAATAAAAACAAATCAGGAGGCATCATATTACCAGACTTCAGATTGTATTATAAATCTACAGTGATCAAAACAGCATGGCACTGAAACAAAAATAGAGAGGTAGATTTATGGAACAGAATAGAGAAACAAGAGATAAACCCAAACACATATCGTCATTTAATCTTTGATAAGTCTAACAAAAACATAGATTGCAGAAAAGATTCCCTACTTAATAAATGGTACTGGGTGAACTTGCTTCGACCTATAGAAGGTTAAAACTAGAACCTCACCATTAACAAAAATTGATTCTCATTGGATAAAAGATTTAAACTTTAGACATGAAACTTATAAGTTTATTTTACATTTTTATAAAATACTAGAAGAGAGTGCAGGGAAACCACTTGACTATATTATCCTGAGAAAATATTTAATGAGTAGGATGCCCCTGGCAACTGATGCAACACCAAAAATATATTACAGGGATCTGATCAAGCTAAAAAGCTTCTGCACAGCTAAGGATACAGCAAGTAAAGGAAACAGACATCTTTCAGAATGGGAGAAGATTTTTGCCGGTTATGTTTCTGACAAAGGTCTGGTAACTAGAATCTACAGAGAAGTCAAATTAATCAATCAGAAAAGAACAAACAACCCCATTTCTTTGTGGGCAAGAGACTTGAATAGAAACTTCTCTGAAGATGACAAGAGCATGGCCTACAAACACATGAAAAAATGCTCATCACCTTTAATCATCAGAGAAATGCAAATCAAAACCACTTTGAGATATCATGTAACTTCAGTAAGATTAGCCCACATCAGAAAATCCCGAAACTGCAGATGTTGGCGTGGGCATGGAGAGAAGGGAAGTATACTGATGGTAGGACTGCAAACTAATACAGAATTTTTGGAAAGAAGTATGGAGAATTCTCAAGGAACTAAAAGTTGACCTACCATTTGTTCTGAAAAACCATTACTAGTTATCTACCCAGATGAACAAAAACCATTTTACAACAAAAACATTTGTACCAGAATATTTATCAAAGCCCAATTTACAGTAGCCAAGTCGTGGAAGCAGCCTAAGTGTCCATGAATGGATTCACAAATTATATACCATGGATACTATGCAGCCATAAAAAAGAGGGAGACTTTACACCTTTAATGTCTACCTGGATGGAGCTGTAACATACTCCTTAGTAAAGTATCTCAATAATGAAAAAAAGTATGCAATGTGCTCAATACTATTATGAAAACAATATATAAACACACATTCATACAAACGATAAAACACAAAGACAGTCAAGAAAGAAAGAGGACAGAGGAGGGAGGGGGAGGGAAGGGGAGGGCAAGTTGAGGGAGGATATATGGCGGGATCTCACCTACTGTGCACAATGCAAGGGCACATTTCAAAACAACTAAGAGTATATTGTAAATGTCTTACCACAAAAATAAGTAAGTGAGGTGATGGTTATATTAATTAGTTTGATTTAAGCATTCCAGATTGTATATCAAATCTTCATATTGTACCCCATAAAGGTATACAGTTATGTTTTAATAAAAATTAACTTAAAAAAAGTAAAAAAAAAAACTGTGTGTATACATATATATATATATAAATCATATCATGTTAGCTCAAAGCTCATCTAACCATGTCCAATAAATGTTCTACAAATTTTATATACAGGCTCGGCGCCTATAGCTCAACCGGCTAAGGCGCCAGCCACGTACATCTAAGGTGGCGGGTTTGAATCCCCAGCCCAGACCCGCCAAACAACAATGACGGCTGCAACCAAAAAATAGCCGGGCGTTGTGGCGGGTGCCTGTAGTCCCAGCTACTTGGGAAGTGGAGGCAGGAGACTCGCTTGAGCCCAGGAGTTGGAGGTTGCTGTGAGCTGTAATGCCACGGCACTCTACCCAGGGGGATAGCTTGAGGCTCTGTCTCAAAAAAAAAAAAAAAAAAAAAAATTTATATACAAAAGAATATAATTGAATTATATATAAATTCTACAATTTTCATTATGCTTTAACATAAAGGTTTTTTTAAAAAGTAAATTAAAACTTTAACTTTAAAAAATAAAAATGAAATAAAATAAAAAGAAACAAACCTGACTGAAGAAGGTCCCTCTTCTGTGAAACAACTATTCCAGGCTCCTAACCACTCTCCAGTGTCTTTGTCAAATACTTGAATTCTTTTATTTCCTCGGTCAGCAACCCACACCTGAAAAACACAGCCCCCCCAAAAGGTCAATTTGAAAAGATACATGACATAGAGACTAAATCCTTATTTTAATTAGTTTCACAATACATTATCTTAATACTTAGAACAGGAAAAAAAGTTCTTAATACTTAGAGAGCCCCAAAAGTACTGTAAGTTCCATTTAAGGTGAAGAAAAACTGAAGTTCAGAAAGGTTAAGTGAGCTTACAGTGAGAGAGGCACAACCTGCCTTTACCCAAAGCCTATGATGGTGTTTACTAAATAAGCTAATAACTAAGAGACTGCAGTGCTCCACCATAAGGCAGAGGATCCGAGTAATGAAGAGTGACAAGGCTCATTCATTCCTCTAACAAGCACTCACTTTCTCTGAGTACTGCCAGCTTGTCAGTTCCTGGGAAGACAAAGAAAAGCAGCCCTCCTTCTCCGGAGCTGAGGACAGCAGAAAGTGGGGTATTCACTCCTATGGCAATACCATTAAACCTGTACCTGCTATTCCCAAGGTACATTCAAGGCACTGAAGCACTTAGAGAGGAAGCTTGAAATAGTAACACATAAAGAATGATACTAAGTTTAATTTAGGCTTGTCACAAGCTGTAATGAGCTAGTAGGAAACTACTGTATAAAACAGGAAGTCAGATGCACTCTTGCAGACAGCCCATGTGTCCCATGCCTGCCCCAGAGGCACACGAAGGGGAGTAATTCATAAGGACACCAGGCTGGTGCTGCAGAGAGGAACCCTGCTGACCTCCACCTGCCTCTTTTGGGTCCTTTGCATTTCTTGGCTTTGTGAACGCCTATTTTTTCAGGGCAAACCTGTCTCTTTGTTAGTGTGTATAAATTTTAGCAACCACTGAATTCATCCTCAATCAGAAACAAATAAAGACTCATACAATTTTAGAAAGGTTGTTGATGTCTAAGTAAGGCAATTTCTCAAGATCTTTTCTAGGGCTATAATTCTTTACTAAGAGTGAGTTTCCTAACAGATTTTGGGATCTGTATCTCGAAGAAATGACCAAGGAGAAAATACAGTCTATATACTTACGAATAAATGAAACTTTAGATAGTCAGCATTATTTTTCCTACCTGAAACTCAATGAATTTTGATTATGGGGATTATGTTTAAGAAATGTCAACTAAAAATAAAATCTTAAGCCTCCCAATGATTGAACAGACCCCTTTCAGCCACAAAGACCCCAGAAAAACCCTAATACTAATTTCTGGTCAGGGTGGCAAACAAGGCTGACAGGCCTCGTTATACCCCTCCCTTGGAGAGTTTAGCACTCATGTTAAAACAGAGATTCTAACCCTAACAAAAGAGACTGTGTGACAAAAAGATACCAAATTATAAATAAGAAGGCTCTGTCAGGCAACGATCAAGTTATACCTTAAACTTTATAAAATCTAGTTAAACAGATTTTTTTTAATAGCACGGTATCACACAACAGATAACAGGACCACCACCCCTGAAACATCCCTTCCTACTGACTACAAATTTTTAGGCAAAGCTTAATACTCTGAACCAATTGCCAATTAGAGAATCTCTAAATTCACCAATGACTTGTAAGCCCCCACTCAAGATATCTCACTTTTTTGTGCTAAAACAATGAATACCTTACATAAATTCATTTATTATTTTACAAGCAATTCCTGTCTCCCTGCAATGTATAGAACCAAACTATAACCCTGCTACCTTGGGCACACTTCCTCAGGAGGTCTTGAGGTTGTGTCTCCCTGGGCACATGCTCATTGGTTCAAAATAAACCTCTTTAAATTATTTTACAGAGTTTGGGCTTTTCTGTTCATAGAAACAAGTCTTTAACTCTGGGACTAATTAACTTTTCAAATAGGGTCATGGAAATGATGAAATGTGTTAATCATATAAAATGCTCAAAATGTCATTGCTGTTGTTACAAAAACTCAAGTGTGTAGAAATTAACATTTTTTCTTTATCACTCAGTAATGTCAGAGTACACCATTAAACAATTTCCAAAGCCTCTTAGAAGGGTGCTCTTCTCCACAGTGAATTCAACTGGGTATAGGTCTTGCATAGTCTGAAACTTGATCTTTTGCTGAGCACAAAATAGGAGTAATTAACCAAGCTCAGGAGGGTAATGTGTAAAACTCAAATTCCAACTTTCTAGTGCCTAATTTACACACAAAGTTCACATGGTTAGCTAACTTGTCATGGTAGCTAGAAAAACATAATGTTCAAAACACTCTTATTTGTCCAGGCATGGTGGCTCATACCTGTTAATCTAATCCTAGTACTCTGGGAGGCCCAGGCAGGGGGATAGCTTGAGCTCATAGGTTTGAGACCAGACTGAGCAAAAAGCAAGACCCTGTCTCTACTAAAAATAGAAAAACTGATGCAAGAGGATCGCTTGAGCCCTGGTTGGAGGTTGCCGTGAACTATGGCACCACGGCAGTCTACCCAGGGTGACGGCTTGAGACTCTAACTCCAAAAAAAAGTCATTCTCACTTTATCAACATAGGAAGCCAAATCATAATTAGAAGTTTGGTCTCTGAGCACAGAATCAGAAGTGGAAACGTATTAAATGCCTAATGGCTTGAAGGCAAGTAGCCTAACATATCTATAATGGGTTTTTTTGTTTGTTTGTTTTGGGGTTTATTTTGGCCAGGGCTGGGTTTGAATCCACCACCTCTGGCACATGGGGCTGGCAGCACCCTACTCCTTGAGCCACAGGTGCCACCTGACATATCTTTTACATGTCAAGACATCTAGTCATTCACATGTAAGATGCCCGCTAGACACTAACATATAAAGTAGAAGAGATTTAGTATGTGCACTCACATAACCTACAGTGTATCAGAATGAATATAACATAGTGTGATAGTCACTATAACCAGGAAGTACAGCCCCTATAGGAAAACATGAGGAAGAACTAAAAATGTTTTGGTGGGGGTTTGGTTATGAGAAGATAACCTCAAAGAAGTGATAACTATTCTTAGGTGAGTAAAAGCAATAGATGTGGTAGTGGATGAGAGTAAGGAAGAGAAACCAATTGAAATTTGTTGGTTAAAGCTTTCTGTTTCTTAAATAGGGTGGAGTTAGTGAGAGCAAGACTTTGCCTAGATGGCTCTCTTTTCCAAGCTTCCAAGATTAACCTCTCCTGCCCCTCTTTTGAACAACACATTTTTTTCTTAAGAATTGAAAATACATTCAAACACTTTTAGTAGAACTTTCTGAGCAGAAGGGCAACTTTTAGTTGGAAACCTCCCCAATGTAGGATCCAAGAGAGCATGACTGCACACCCGGCCCCACCCCCCAGACACACCTATAACATACACGTGTACACACGATCTATATACAAATGCCCAGACACACAGAGACTCACAGACACACGTATTCAGACACACAGTCCCAGACATGGTGACAATGTATTTTTACCCGACCAGCTGAATCAACTGTAATGCTATGAGGTATGTTGAACTTTGCAGGTCCTGTCCCGTTTTCTCCATGCAGCCAAAGGATCATGAAATCTATAAATGGTAAAAACATATGGTTAAAGCAACATATGGAATGTCCTACACGTTATTTTATGATATAAGATTGCAAAAAACTGGGCAGTGCCTGTGGCTCAAAGGAGTAGGGTGCCAGCCCCATATGCTGGAGGTGGTGGGTTCAAACCCAGCCCTGGCCAAAAAAAAAAAGATTGCAAAAAACTATTCAGTTATACCCCTGGTTCACTTGACCAGGCTTTTTTGGATTCCTGTCTATACACCTGTCTGCCTATTTCTTTTTTTTAGTATATGTGCTGCTGAAGCAAGCACTATTTGCCTATTTATTATGCTTTACAAAAGAAAAAAAAATTCCTCCCCTATTTTAAGCATTAATCTAATTCTTTAATTATCTTAACTTGAATCTTTTGTGATTGCTTCAAAATCATTATTTAAGGTTGATGTCATCCTCTCCCACAAACTGATTCCCTCTCATAACTTAACATTATTTGATATTACTGTTCCACTGAGCTTAAACATTCACTCTATGTTTTTACAGTCTATCTCCTTTGTTACCCACTGCAGTGTGCTGAACTGTGCTCCTCCAAAGAGATGATGTCCTCATTACTGGTACTTAACAAATGTGCCAGTATTTGGAAACAGGGTCTTTGCAGATGTAATTAAGTTAAGGCTCTTAAGATAGGAAGATGAGTTCATCCTGGATTTAGGGTGGGTCCTAAATCCTCATTAAGGGAAAAGGAGAGGGAGATTTGACACACATGGGAAGATGGAGCAGAGACTGAAGTTACGCTGGGACAAGCAAAGGGATGTCTGAACCACCAGAAGCTAGAAGTGGCAATGCAAACTCCTTCCCGAGAGCCTTTACAGAGACTAGGGCCTACCAGATTTCAAACTTCTGAATTCAAAAATATTGAGAATAAATCTGTATTGTTTAAAGTCACCTAGTTTGTGACAATTTGTCATAGAAGCCATTAGAAACTAATAAACTCATATTAAATCTGTCTCCTAAATGTGGTGGTTTCTTTCATAGAATTTTTTTGGATTCTTGTTTAATCCTCGCTCTGCATCCCTTTAACTGTTACGGATAAAATGCAGTTACTAAGTGATAAAGTGACTACACAGCCTCCAAATGATGGACCTCACTCACAACAGACCTCACCGTAACAGTCTTATATAAACTCTGCTTCTGTAATATCACTTTCCTACTCAAAAACCCCCTCCAAGATGCTTTATAGTCACAAGTGCCTTTAAAAATCCTCAAATAAGCTTTCAAGGACATCCCAAGTTTTATTTTACACCATTGGAAAAGTATACCTTCACTTCCTTTCCTGCTAATAACCATCTGTGAGCCATGTATAAAACCTCCATGAAGGTCCCCTCACCCTCATCTTCTCTCACCAAAACTAATTTAAGAACTACTTCCATTAAGAAACCTTGTCCTCCTTCTCCAATCAATCTAGTTTCTCCTCCTAATTCCTATTTTACTGTAAGAATCAATAATATGGACAACTTGTCATTGCTTCATGCATAACAGACCTGTGTCTCCTGAGACCACAGGACACAGAGCAGGCACTCAACCTCTAGAATGCTCGACTCTGGGACTCTGGGTCCCTTGCTTTTTCATTCCTAACTGGAGAGGATATCCAGTTATCTCTTGAGCCCTATAAACTCTTATTCTGCCTCAGGCTCCTTTTGGAAGAATCTCCTTGCCTTTAAATGTAAAGAATAAGCAACTCTGTTATCAGAATCATTAATTGTTGGCAATCACATCTATCTGTTTTCCAGTGTTTTCTAGTAACGCATTTTACCTCTTTACACAGTTTTATATATAACACTGTTACAACATTATAACAAGTATCAAATAAATTAAATCTAATTTATAATATTCTTATAATACCATAGAAAGCTAGGCCACATACCTTGGGACAGTTTGATCAATCTATTATTCAATCCTCCATCTCCATCCACAATGTAAATATCTCCTGTGTCCTCAACATACAATTCTGCGGGACTGTCAAACTGCAGGGGATTCAAACCAGTGCCTTTTTTGCCTGGGGTACCCAAGATTTGAACAAGATCACCAAAGGAATTGTATTTTTTAATAGTATGACCATAGGATCCTGTAAAGATAGAGATGCACATCTTACAAACAAAACTGTATAATCACGTTTCAAGTAAGCTGAGAGCAAAAATTTGGTAGTATTAAACAGCAAAAAAAGGCTTATTGATTTAGATGAAGAAATGTTATAATGGACAAAAGAGCTTCTTAAGTTCTACAGCCATACTTGTTCAATAATCAAAATCTCTGTTATCCAAAATAGGTAGATTCTAAATTCAAATAAATAATTCCCCCCAAAGACTCATTATATAGAAACCTCATGTTGCTATCAAATTACTGGTGTACCATTTTCTTTTTTAATCTAATGGCCGTGAATAACCATGTTTGTAAAAGGAAATCAAGAAGTTGTAAAAGAAACAACTTACATTTGAAACTGGTTATTTCAATCATTCACATACATTCCTTCAGTTTCAGTAGGTCAACAAAAAAATTCTCTGTGGTCCTACTGTTTTTAAAATACATTTTCTCCTAGTGAAAACAAATTCAAAACTTAGCCCCTCAACTTTCCTTTCCTAAGAAAAAATATCTTTCCCAAATCACTAGTATCTTATTTCTCACATTAAAATTTCTTTCCTTGAGTTAAAATTATCTTAAAAGCAAAAGCATAAAGCAGGACATTAGGAAAATCATAAAGCAGTTAACAGAAATAAACATGAAGGCATGTAAGACCAAACTGACAGGTGTCCCAAAGACTAAGTGGATACATCAGGCCCAGCAGTAAGGCGAGTCAGCTCACATTACAATTCTACCTTGAAAAACATTTTGACTTATACTTGATTTGGACACTTGAGCTTCACTGTACAGTAACAAGAGAACACAAAACCCTCAAAGTTTCTAAAGAACTAACAAAAGAGATAGAATATTACCAAATAATGTATTTTTTTTAAGGGGCTGATTTGTAACCATACTTTTGATCAGAGAAAATTTATTCCTTTGGAAAATGAGAATGTAAAAACTGTCTTCAGATATGTACTTAAGAAAAAAAGTTTTAATGGAAAGAATGAAGAGATCATCTGTGCCCTTTTTATTTCTAGAAATCGGTGAGGTCATGAAGAAGCACATGAATAGAATGACACAACTTAACAGTGAATCCTGGGAGGAAAACTGTGAAAACAGTCCAAGCTCATTATAATATTATTAATACAATGAACTCAGAGATAATCTAGATTTTTTTGGTTTAACCAGAATCTTATCATCCAAAATACAGCTTTAAAAAAACAGGCCATTAGCTAAGACCTAGAAATCTTTTGGGTTCTAAGAACAGCTTTGGTAATGGACAGTATTTATAACAACTGAGGCCTCCTTACTTTACAAAAATAGTAACTGAATTAGCAACAAATGGGTAAATAGGATGTCCATTAGGTATCTTTATCCAGAAAACATTCAAGAAGTAGGCCAAACAATAATGGAAATATTGTCATTACAATCCCACTCATTCCTCAGGTAATGCCCGCCTCTCTCTGGCACTGCCTTGTCTGAAGCCACAGCACAGGTGAATCACATTCTCTGAAACTTTCTCCACAGCTGTAAATTCAATTATGCTCACTTCATTTTTCAGCATTTTCTACTAAGACTATTTGATGGTGGAAAGATTTCAGACATGCTCAAGTCAGTGGAATTTCAAAAACCTTAACACCAGTTTCTCCAAATCTGCACTTTGGGCAACACAGTAGTTCTAGTTTCTTAGCTCAATCTCTTTTGGAAGAACACTGGTAAACTAAAATGAGAGTCGAGGATCCCATTCATCCACCTTCAGAGATTGCCATGTTATTTGGCTTCACCGAAGATGTTTAGAGCTATTTCATCTGAGAAGAGCAACTCACAATTGTCCCTTCAGCGCCTCCAAGCAGAAAGTAAACAAAGCAAAGAATTTAAACACAACCTCAGAACAAGTGGGCTTAACAGACATGTGTAGAGCCCTTCACCCTAATAAAATTGAGTATACAATCTTCTCAGCAGCCCACAGATCATCCTCCAAAACTGATTATTGTCTTTGGGCACAAAGCAAATCTCAGCAACTTCAAAGGAATAGAAATTATACCTTGTATCTTCTCAGACCAACACCGAATAAAAGTAGAAGCCAACAACAACAGAAATCTTCATGAGGCGCCTTGTTTCATGGAAACTAAACAACCTCATGATGAATGACAGCTAGATCAAGGAGGGAATCTCTAGGGTGACAATGAAGCTACAAGCTATCAAAACCTGTGAGATACAGCAAAGCCAGTCCTTAGAGGGAGTCTCTACCATTAGATGCTGTTATCCAGAATACTGAAAGTACAATAACCTAATGGACCATCTCAAGGAACTGGAAAAGGAAGAACAATCCAAATCCAAACCACAAGAAAAGAAATCACCAAAATCAGAGCAGAATTAAATGAAATTGAGAACACCCAAACTGTTCAGAAGATCAGCAAAACAAAAGGTTGGTTCTTTGAAAAGATTAATAAAATTGATAAACCATTTGCCAGACTAACTCGAAATAAGATCTCTAATAACATCAATCAGAAACAAAAAGGTAGAAATAACAACTGATATCACAAAGATACAAAAGATCCTCAACAATTACTACAAAAAAACTCTATGCCCAGAAATTTGAAAACATAGAGCAGGCTCGGCGCCTGTGGCTCAAGCGGCTAAGGCACCAGCCACATACACCTAAGGTGGCGGGTTCAAATCCAGCCCGGACCCGCCAAACAACAATGATGGCTGCAACCAAAAAAAGCTGGGCGTTGTGGTGGGCGCCTGTGGTCCCAGCTACTTGGGAGGCAGAGGCAGGAGACTCGCTTGAGCCCAGGAGTTGGAAGTTGCTATGAGCGTGATGCCACGGCACTCTACCCAGGGGGACAGCTTGAGGCTCTGTCTCAAAAAAAAAAAAAAAGAAAAGAAAACGTTGAGCAGTAATTCTCAACCTTCCTAATGCCACAAACCTTTAATACAGTCCAAAGGGGTCGTGACCCACAGGTTGAGAACCACTGACGTAGAGGAAACGAAATAATACCTTGAATCACTCCACCTTCCTAAACTCACCGAGGACTAGAAATTTTCAATCAACCATTATCAAGCACCAAATTGTTGCAACAACAATTAAAAACCTTCCAAAAAATTAAAGTTTTGAACTAGATGGTTTTACATCAGACTTCTACCAAACCTTCCAGCAAGAGCTAGTATCTATACTACAGAACCTATTCCAAAAGAATCCTCCCCAACATGTTCTACAAAATAATCACCCTGATACCAAAACCAGGAAGGGCTCAACAAAAAAGGAAAACACAAACTCCTATCATTAATGAATATCACTGCAAATATATTCAGTAAGCTCTTAGGAAAGAAAACACAAACCCCTATCATTAGTGAATATCACTGCAAATATATTCAATAAGATCCTAGGAAAGACCACAGAGCTACACCATTTAAAAAATTATACACGATGATCAGGTGGGCTACATCCCAAGGATGCAAGGTTGGTTCAACAGATACGAATCTATAAATGTAATTTGCCATATAAATAGAAGCAAAACCAAAGACTATATGATCCTCTCAACAGATGAAGAAAAACTATTTGAGAAAATTCAGCATCCTTTTCTGACAAGAACACTTAAGAAAATAGGCACAGACGCAACATTTCTTAAACTGGTAGGGGGCCATCTACAGCAAACCCACAGCCAATCTGATACTGAATGGAGCAAAACTGAAAGCATTTCCACTTAGAACTGGAACCAGGTAAGGATGGCCATTGTTGACACTGGAGAGCTAGAAGTTCTAGCCAATACAATAGGCAAGAGAAGGACATCAAGGGTATTCAAATGGAGACTGAGAAGGTCAAACTTTCCCTCTTTAACAATGATAAAATCTTATACTTGCAAAACCCCAGGGTCTCAACCTTAAGGTTCCTAGAAGCAATGAAGGAATATGCAATGTCTTGGGTCAAAAATTAATGTACACAAGCCAACAGCCTTAATATGTCCCAATAATAGTCAAAGTTGAGAATCAAATCAAAGACAAAATCCTCTTCAAAGAAAATAAAATACCTGGGAACATACCTAACAAAGGACATGAAGGATCTCTGCAAAGAGAACTATGAAACACTGAGAAAAGGAACAGCAGAAGAAGTCGATCAATGGAAGAACACACCATGCACATGCTCGTGTCTGGATGAAACATCCACACTACCCAAAACTATCCACAGATTTAATGCACCAATGTCATATTTACAAGAACTTAAAAAAATAGTACTTTGTTTTATATGGAACCAGAAAAAAACACTGAATAGCCAATGCAATTTTCAGAAATGAAAACAAATCTGGAGGCATCACATTATCAGACATCAGGTTATACTACAATTCTATAGAGATCAAAACAGCATGGTACTGGCAGAAAAAGAGATACAGATCTATGGAACAGAATAAGAACCCAGAGATGAACCCAGCCATGATCACCACCTGATCTCTGATAAACCAAACAAAAGCATGCACTGGGGAAAAGAATTCCTATTTAATAAATGGTGCTGGGAGAAGTGGTTAGCCACATGTAGAGGACTGAAACTGGACCCATGCCTCTCACCACTGGCGAACTAAAAGTCGCCTTCCATTTGATCCCACAATCTCATTACTAGGTATCTACTCAGAAGAAAATAAATCATTTTACCACAAGGACATTTCCACTAGAATGTTTATTGTAGCTTCACAATTGCCAAGACATGGAAGGAACCCAAGAAACTGCTTTATATGTATACCATGGAGTACTTTCAGTCATAAAAAAAGATAAAGACTTTACATCTTTCGTATCAACCTGGAAGGAGTTGAAACACTTTCTTCTTAGGAAAGTATCACTAGAATGCAAACGCAAGTATCCAATGTACCCAATACTAATATGAAACAGAAAAACAACTACATGACCACAGGAGAGAAAAACACAAGTCTATTCAAGTAGGGGGAAGAGGGGAGGAGGGAAAGACGGAAAGGGATGAGGGAGGGATACTGGTAAGCGCTCACCTAATGTGCACAATGTAAAGGCATACAGCACACACCCAGATGAAGGGCTCAACTACAACTTGAATTTTACTTTAGAAACACAAACGATGTGTTTCTAACCTAATCATTTGTACCTTCCTATTAATCTAAAATTAAAATAAAAAGAGGAAAAGTCCCTTGACAAATGCAAGTAAAGATCATGATAATAGACTCCTTGTTAAATTTCCTGATTCTACGTACAATACAAAGATAAAGAAACATGTTATTTCATGAAGCATTAGAGAAATAGCCAGTAGTTTCAGCAACTCTGATTCGAAACTGCACAAGCAAGAATATGAGTAAAGATAGGATGTTTTTAGGAAGATAATTTAATAGATATTACTACACATACCACTTCCTACATCCGTGATCCAGATGGATTGTTCAAGTAGTGTACTGGCTGCAAACATACCATGAGGTGTGTCAACTGTATAATTCCAGGATCGTAGGAAATATCCATCCTCTGTAAACACTAATACCTTTGGGATGTTATCCCCTCTCTGAAGGTATACAAAAATAACTTCTTAGATAGTATCAGTTTTAAGGAAATGTAATCTTTATTTTGGCAAAGGGAAACAAAAATTAAAGTTAATTTAGAAATTTAGTGACATTTGAGAAACCAACTTCAAAACCCCAACAATATTATGTGTGATATCTTTCACATTCAATACCAAAATATTTACTTGAAACTATCTCAAAAATAAATTGTACAATCAGCATAAAATAAATGCATATGGTTGGATATTATAGTAAGGTTGTTTTCTTCGTATTCTTCACGATTATTTTTTAATTTCTATTTTACTCACTTGTGCTATGTAAACCAATCCATTGAGGGAATCAACTCCAACACAAAATGTTGCTCCAGTAAAATACTCTGATTGCTTAGGCCAATCCACATCCAGCCGGTAAAGAATTCTCTCAGTTTTCCAGGAAATTCGAAAAGCAAAGTTCCTCAAAACCTTAAATAAAATCGTAAGATTAAGATTCAGTTGACCCTCTACGTAAGAAAAAAAGAGGAAGGAATGGGGGGAATGACTTTTTTTTTTAGAGCGTGCCTTGATAACTAGAATTTTGCTGGACTGAAATAATTCCAAATAAATGGGCTCTTAATACGTACGAATGTCTAAAGACCAAGAAGACCAACCCGCAAATTATTTCAAAGTTAGGAAAGAAAAAATAAGGAAAATAGCGATGCACCATAGAAAAACTTTTCAACACTTAAGAGTCAAGGAAACAGGCGTCAGAGACAGGCTTTCCAATGAGCCAGTGAGCGCAGGTCTCGCCGCCCTCATCCACCACGGCGGCGCCGCCTCCCATCAGTGCCATCCACACCCCGACAGTCCTTCCCTCGCTACTCCACTCACTGGAGAGTCACAGAAATGCGACTGTAAAACCAGGAAGGCGAGAAAGAAGCCGGCAGCTGCGGCGCAGACCCAGAATCTCGCCACGGCCATGGGAGGAAGGGGGACCCGCGAGAGAGTGAAGGCGGCCGACACCCTCGGGTCCGAGTTCGTGGCTGCAGAGGGTCGGCCTGAACCCCAATCTCAAGCCTCCCTTCCGTGGAGACGCAGGCTTTTAAAACGAACGGGAGCAGAGACCGGGACTAACGAGACCAACTCCGGACGTCCGGCGCCTTCCCGGGCCGCGGTCTCACGTCAGGTGCCTGCAGGTGGGGAGACTCGGGGGCCACCTTTCCCCGCCCCTCGGGGCGGTCCCCGGCCGGACTCCGCCCGGCCGCCAAAATTAGGGTGCCTCCATATATGCCTCAACCGATGGACGTCAATTCTTTTAATTTAGATGGAACAGTCAAAATACAGCACAAACAAGAAACATAATGGGAGGGCACTAAAAATAATTACTTCTGGCCTGTGGGAAGAATTTTAACCGTATCTTTCTCCGGGACGTTCAGGCATCAGCAATGGATGCCTATGTTCCCACACTAGGACCACCTCCACGGGCTTTCAGAAAAGAGCGGCCCAACCCGGCAGCGCGGAGTTGAGTTTTTTCGGACGCGACGGGATCGTTGTAGGTCCCTTAGAGCTGGTGGGGGCTGCAGGGGAGACCGTGCCGGGCGCCTGGTGCTTGCTGGGTCTGCGCCTTTCAGGAGTCCCCTTACGGAGGCCGTGACCCTCTTCGCCCGGCGCCTGGTTCCCTCCGGCCGCCGGCCGGCTCCCGGAAGCCGCGGCCGCTGATAACAAAGAGCTGCTAGACGGCCTGCTGACGGGGCTGAGGGACCCGGCAGGCCGGTGGAGCGGCGGGGGGCGAGCGCGAGCCGAGCCGCGAGTCCGGGTTTGCAGCTGACGGGCGCGGCCGGCGGCGGAGGCGCTGGTGCGGGCCGGGAGGCGGCTGCCTCCTTTCTTGGCGCCCGCGCGGCTTCGGAGGCAGGTGCTTTGGCCCTCGGCTGCGGGAAACGGCGCTCGGCCCGGGCAGCCGAGCTCCTCCCCTGGCTGCCTCCACGCTTTGTGTGAAGAAGCTAGGCAGACCTGACCGGAGTTATCTTTGTTTTTAATAAAGTTTTTCTAAACCTCCGTTTTTAGGAATTTTTGCAGAGTTTGCAATACTCTCCACCTCTTCGCATCCTTTCTTATGCTCGTGGAGTCTTTTTCCTCCTCGACTATAAAATATTTTTACTGTCACCGGGGCAGACCAGGGATGAACGTTTTGTAATTGAAAGTTTAACTGTTAAACCCCCCGTCAAGATTCTAGTCAAGATGGATAAAAAGTCCTTTGAAACGGTGCTGGATGAAATAAGAAAGGTAATGACACTCGATTCCCTTTATTATTTTATGAGATACGAATTCTGGTGATTTATTCTGTTTGAGGTACTGTGTGTAGATTGCGAAAAATAAGGGTCCTGGAATTGCCACATTGGTTTGAATGGTTTCATGGAACATGTATAAGAGCTTATATCTTGATAACGTTTCATGATACAAGTATAAATTGTCACCTTAACGCTATAGTTGATAGTCATTGGGTTGCTGTGGAAATTATATTCAGACAATTAGATCCTTAAAGCGACTTACTTTTGGGTAAGTGATTTAATGCTTTTGAGTTTATTTCCTCATCTTTCAGTAACACAACAGTGACTAAAAACTAGAATTCCAAGAAAGCTTTTATGTAGCTATTGTTATGATAGGATTTTTATAACCGAAGGATAAGCAGAATATATTTTTTGTGTTAGCCAGAGAAACTTAGTGTCCTAATGATATGTGCCATTAAGTTTAAAGTCAGATTCTTAGAAATTGGCTTTCAATAAATTGAATTTCAAATTTTTTTTCTCTTGCTTCCCCCTTTTGCTTTTTGAGACTGTTGTGTTCATTTCCTCTACCAGATGCCGAGCATTTTGGAATGTAGTTTTGAGCCTAAGGTATTTCTCGAATTCCAGAATAAGAAATTGCCTGTTCATAATTGAAAGGACTTAACTGTACCATTGTTATGTAAACGTGGGGTGCTTTGCCTAGTCCTTCCTGCCAGTTACTTGCATTTTCATACTTTATGACCCTTGACTGACCTGGAAGAAACTGTTTCCATGTGCTCTGGTACTTCAGCTTAGAAAGTTACTACTAAAATTGTCTTTGAAGCTGTTGTTTTACTTTGTTCTTTATAAGTCTTTTTTTTTTTTTCAATTTGATATGTTTACTATTTCATATTTGACAATATTGAATGTTCTTTTTTGAACAAATGTCTGTTTTTGCAAGCCCAATTAAGATTTTGAAACAAAACATCGATTTACTAACAACATGTCACAACTTGTTGGTGGCTGATTTCTGTTCATGAGAAAATAATTTGTGAGTTCAAGGAGACCAGCAGATTGCTACTTTAGAAAATACAAGTTGTCCTGTGGCATACACTGTCCCTTCTAAGTGTTATTAAAATGTCACATAGTAAATACTAATGATGAGATTATGAAATTTCCCAGATGTGAAAGTCTTATTCACATGAGATGGCAACTTAAGTTCATATTTCTGGTCTGCGGTCAAAATATGTCTTTTGTTTCTTTACCAAATGATTAGATGCAACATAGTCTGTTAAAGTGGAATAAAATATTAGCATATCCAAATATGGAGCATTACTGATTTTTTAAGTTAGTAGACCTACTCTCTTTGAGGTTAACTGGTCAGCTTAGGTTACAAGTTAGTTAAGTGAGGGATCCAATATTCAAACTCAGGTAGTGTGACTCCTTAGGGCCATTTGTCAAGCTTGGGGTTAGAGCTGGCCTCTCCGCATTGACTAATGAAAGAAGAGACACATGACTCGGCTTCAGCACAATCCAGGACTTGGTTCAGAAACTTGAATTTGACTGTGTCTGGTGATTATGATGATGATCAAACTCCTGACTAAAACTCCTGCTTTATTCAGAATACAACTTCCTCCCCTTTCCAGTGAAATTAAACTGCTGAACAACCAGAATGTTGGCTGTAATATTTTCTCCTAGCAGAATCTTAATATAGTGTATGGAAAGTACAAATATATGTACTTTTGTAGTAAAAACAAAGGGATTAGATCAGTTTTATCATTGACTATCAAGTTATGATAACCTGGTGTTTCCATCTCTAAGCTAGGCAAATAGCTTCAAGGGGACCATGTGTGACTTCAGTGAGCCATAGACGGGCTGGGTCTGGCTCAAGGCTGTCAGCTTTTCTCTCACCCGTTGACATAGAGGAAAGTAATGTGTCACTTAGTGCATATCTATTATGTGTCAGATCTCATGTGGACTGGTGTAATCCTCACAGTGGATTTGAGGTGAGTGGTGAACAGTGTTCCCTTTTCAAAGGCCCCACTGACAGTAGCAGGCACAGTGAATTCAGGGCCTTTTAACTCCTTGCCTTCTCATATCCCTGTGGAAGTACTGAGTGCCTCAACTAGACTGTCTTATTCTTGCTTTTCTATCACTTAGGACATACATTATTCAGTAATTAATTGATGAATAACAGCTGATACATTTAATCTTAAAAATGACAATTTGGCTGGATTCAGAATTTTTTGAAAGTCTTTGATCACATATTCAGGAATTCTGTGTGTAATTTGTACTAACATTGAGTAATATCTATTACAGTTTTATTTGCTTTCCTTGTAGGGGTGAGTGGGGAGGCTTTCCGGCTCACTCAGCATATCCTTCCCGACACAGAACCTGGAAAAGAAGAGTGTCCTGTCACCACACTGACCTTAGCTGTCTGTGTGCTCAGGCTAACAGAGACCTGCCCTGTGGAGTTGCTCGGGCAGTTTTGATACGTGAATGTTACTGTGCTGTGGACATTAATTAATTAATGATTAATGCTGTTCTTTCTGTGTTTTTTTAGGCTGTTTTGACAGAATACAAATTAAAAGCAATTGAATATGTTCATGGATACTTCTCTAGTGAACAGGTATTCCTATTTTAACAAAGCCTTTTTATACCAGTGTTCTGGTTAACGTCTATTTACCTGCTCATCAGATTCAGAATTGCTTTTACCTTTTTGCTGTGTGTATTCAGGAACTTTAGAAGCTGTAAGTTTTGGTAGAAAACTGAAAATAAACAGAATTCATAGTTCAGGAACAGTTTTATAAACCTACCCACTTAACCGCAGTTCATATCCTAAAATGATCTTAAAATACATTGGTTAAAAAAAGCAGTTCAAAGTATTTATCACTCTGGACAGATTTACAAATTTATAGTAGACAACATATCCAAATTTATAGTTACTTATAAGACAATAGTTGCAAAATTCCCTACATAATTAAAAGAAAACTTGAACAAATTAAATATATTCATATATGAAGCCACTAAATAAAAATTTCAGCCATAAGACACATACACAATGTCTAATAAGTAATTTCTATAACTGCCAGAAGAAGACTGCTGTGTTAAGCCTGGTAGTTTAGAGGAAACTTTCACTACACCTTAGAGGGAGTTTGCTAATTTAAAAAAAATATGTATATCTATATACACATACAACAGTTGAGGATTTCTTAGGGATACCTAGAAAACTCTTGATAGAAAAATCAGGCAGAAATAGAAATGTATATGGAGAACAGTCCTGGGAAGAGTGGACGATGCATGAATCTGTAGGTTGAGTTAGTAAATGCTCTGATTTTCATTGATTTCTCAAGAGCGTCAAAACTTGAAAGCTTGAGTAATTTTAAGCCCATAGTGGAAGTTCTGCCTATTATGTTCTCATAAGCTACTTTATGATTTGTGTTTATTAATGCCTTTTTAATGATAGTTTTTTTTAGCTTTCCTATTACTGTACAAAGTCACCATAAGCTCTTTTAAATGTTTTGAAAAGAGTTATAATTTCTCACAGATAGTAGCTTTTTTCTTTTGTGTGTGTGTGTAAAGGTGAGATACCATTGGGGAGGAGTTAGGGACTGACCCACAGCTGTTTTGTTTTTGTGTATTTATTTATGCAGGGTAACACAGAAAAGCAAAACGTTGGTGGGGTCAGGCCCTGATATCTCTATCTCTCTCTCTCTCTCTCTCTCTCACACACACACACACACACATACTGGTATGTGACAGTTTAATGGGGCTTCCATTTTGCAAAAGTCATTAAAAATTTTACGGAGTCATCTGAGGTATATTAATGATTTTCAACCTATCAGACATGCTAGACATACACTCTTACCAAATTAACTGGGAAGTATGCATGATTACTTATTTTCTATTTATATATCTCTTTGTAAGAATTAAAATGTAATTTCACTCTCTTCACATATGACTGCAGTTGGCATCATTAATCTTGCTTCATAGAACAATTGAAATAGCACATTTTTAGGAACTGTCTTCTCGCATTATTTTTCTTTTCCTTTGGAGTATACTTGATCCCCATCACCCTGGTTCACTCTCTTCATGCTAAGACTTCAGTGCTGTGATCTTTATGACCTGCTCATGTCTTATGGGCTCCTCCTTAATGATGGTGGGAGCCAGGATGGCTGAGCTCTCAAAATCATGCACTCTTAGAAGCTGCTGGAGCAATTTGTGATGATTCTTAAAGTTTTTAGGGAATAGATGTATGGTATGAGTATTATGCCCTCCAGATTCAACTAAAAGGGTAAATGTTAGTGGACCCACACAAAACCACATTGCTACAGCCTTGTAAATGATTCGAACTATACCACTGTACTGATATTTTAAGGTTTTCCGTTCACAGTGCATCCTTACATTCTTAAGCTGATATTTTATTTCTATCTATTGCTTTTCAACCTTTCTTTTCTTGTTAGGATAATTTCTTTTTTCTGTATTTAATATTTTTCTTTTTTTCTAGACAGTTCTATGGCAGAGAATTTTCTGTGGTGGTAGAAATGTTCTCTATCTGCAGTGTCTATTATGGTAGCTATCAACTTTATAAGGCTGTTTAGCGATTTAAATGTACATAGCCACAGTCTAGACCAGTGGTTCTCAACCTTCCTCATGCTGCGACCCTTTAATACAGTCCAAAGAGGTCACGACCCACAGGTTGATAACCTCTGGTCTAGACTCTGGTGCCACTCTGATCACCTGGGCCTAGGCTGTACACGTTGAATAGTAATTAATTCCAAGTACTGAATCTTAAGGGAATGTTTGAAACACACTGTCATTAGAACTAAATTATTCTTTGCTTTTAGGTAGTTGATTTACTGAGATACTTTTCCTGGGCTGAGCCTCAGTTGAAAGCAATGAAAGCATTACAGCATGTAAGTAACTTACTTTTTCCCTGGACTGTAGAATTGAAGTATTTTTAATTTTAGTTTTCCATAATTAATCTCAAGTTGTATTTTGTTTACATCAGAAAAACTAACCCCAAGTTTTATTATACATTGATTATTATAAAAGTTTCCTAACTGTAAAGTAAACAAATTATACTATTAAATTGTATACCACAGTATTCTAATCAGCAAATTGGAGGAGAACAAATATTCATTGGCAAGTAAAATACGGGATGGATATATTCAGTCTAGAAGAGTTGTCAGGGAGCTTATACCTAACATTCTTTACATCAGCATTGTCCATTGTGGTAGCTACTGGCTACATGTGGCTATTGACACTTAAAATATGCCTAGTCTGAGGAACTGTTATGTTTTTTGTGACTGGTTTAAATAGGCACACACCTGTGCCTGGTGACTGCTGTATTGGATAGCGCAGCTCTAGAGCTGAGGTCAGCAGGACATGGGTATCCCGCTGCACTGGCAGATTTTCCTGGAACTATCAGCATGAATAGCTTTAATGAAACAATTTATACATTTTTGAATTTCTAAACCAGTCTGCTTAAGAAAGTATTTGGGTGTGTTAGTGCTAATTTTTGATCTCTTTAACCCTTGTTTTTTTTCTAGTTTACAAAAGAAAGGGTCATTTCCCCTATGCCTTGGGTAAAATTCTTTTAGGTTTTAGAGACAATGCTTGGCTCCTGGGAGGGAGGGAGAGCAAAACCTGAGAGAGCTACTTACTCTAAGAAATGCTAGTGAGGGCCTGCCTCACTTTAATCACAAGTTTAAGGCAAAGCTCTCAGGACTGCTTTCACATCTCCCTACCTTAGAATTAAAATTCAGAGCTCAGAAGGGTTTTCCAGGGACAACTCAGTACACATGTTTGAATTAAATTATGTCTTTTCTGGACAAAGTTCGATTTGACGGTTTTCCATACTGAAGATTGTCTTTCTAGTTTCTACTGATGACTTTGGTTCTATCTCTTGAATTGGAGAAGTCAAACGCCGCTTGAGTATTAACAATTTTAGGGTCCGCACCTGTGGCTCAAGCGGCTAGGGCGCCAGCCACATACACCTAAGGTGGTGGGTTCGAATCCAGCCTGGGCCGCCAAACAACAATGACGGCTGCAACCAAAAAATAGCCAGGCGTTGTGGCGGGCGCCTGTGGTCCCAGCTACTTGGGAGACTGAGGCAGGAGACTCACTTGAGCCCAGGAGTCGGAGGTTGCTGTGAGCTGTGATGCCACAGCACTCTACCCAAGGTGACAGCTTGAGGCTCTGTCTCAAAAAAAAAAAGCAATTTTAATAGTTTTTTCCTTTCTTAAAATGTGTATACTTTTTTTGGTACTGCCTGTATATTATAGTATGACATATTTTTACAACTTCTTTTTGAGTATTTTTTTTTTACCTATCATGTGAAATACTAATTAAAAGTAAAATATTTATATTGAACATTTAACTGTACTTCTAAAAACAGGCAATTTCTGGCATGAAGAGCTCATATTAAACATAAAATTATTTTTTTATATTCACAGAAAATGGTGGCTGTTCACCCAGCAGAAGTGGTCAATATACTCAACTGTTTCACCTTCAGTAAAGACAAATTAGTTGCTCTTGAACTATTAGCTTCGTAAGCATTTTTTTCTTTCTACTTCATTGGAGAAAATATTGGAAGCTAGATATCTTTAACTCTTTATTTAGATATCTTTGTCTAAAGATTAAAGATAAAAGATATCTTTTTTAGATATCTTTAACTTTTTATTTAGCGTGTGTTATGCTAAATATTTATGCTAAAATATCAGAAGCTTTTTAGATATCTTTAACTCTTTATTTAGCCTATGTGAGAATTGTATTAGTCCAACTGTAATAAAACATAGTCTATAAAGGCATACTGATAGATTCTGATTTATGTGAATAAATATCCAGCGTGCTTATTATACACGTGGCCATTATAAAATAATGGGGCTGATTGAGATGATTGTATTTGATTGGTTGTGCATCTCCTTAACTTGGCCTTCCCACTCTGAATAACTTGTGGGCATGTTGATCAAAATAGGAATTTAAGAGTTAAGACAAAGATTCTGCCACTTTTCAACACAATATATTTTGGGGGTAAGGTACTTAATATTTCCAAGCCTTATTTTGCTCAGTTGTAAAATAAGGATCTTACTTGCTTATGTAGGGTATATGAACTTTAAACAGCATAAGGTATATGAATTCAGGGTATATGAACTTTAAACAGCATAAGGTATATGAATTCACCTAGCCCAGCATTTCATGGTCACAATGAGTGACGCTCAGAGAGAAAAAGAACCTTTTCATAATTTAACAATATATAATTTATTGCTTACTTATAGAACGTATGTTTTTGACTCCCTTGCATGTATATAGATGTCCATTAAAAGACAATTAAAAATAAAGCTTGTGGTGAAACTTTATTTTTCAGTCAGCTGATTTTTATGGGTTTAATGCATGGCTGGTTCTATTGCCATAGCCCTCCTAATAATCATTTAAGAAGGTGTATTTTGAAAAACCTCAAAATAGTAATTTGTATTAATAGTATTACTTTGTAACCCAGTAATCAAGTTTGATAAACCTCAGTTCAGTTATTATAATTATCATCTTTATAAAAACATGTTATTTAAGCTAAGCTATAATTGATCACACTTTTGTCCCCCAGGTCAGGAAAAGCTTATTAGATAACATATGTACAGTAAATAAAGGTTGCTGGTCTCTGTAGATATGATTTCCAGGTTTTTAAATGAAAACCTGTTTTCTTGGCAGAAACATTGTTGATGCACAGAACTCTCGTCCTATTGAAGACTTGTTCAGGATAAATATGTCTGAGAAGAAACGGTGCAAGAGAGTGCTTGAACAGGTAGTTTTCTCAAGATTGCTGTGTACATGGTGTGGTGGTTTTTCTTAATGTTGATGAAAAAGTACCTTTCTTCCTCCTCAACTTCATTCCTGTTAACTTTAGTGAACAACCTGAATGCTAATACCTGGTGTGTTAAAAGTGGACATCCTTGCCATCTCTAGAGTAGAAACAGAGCTGATTGAAGGGGACCCTGAAGTGGTGAGACGTCTGGAGAGAGAGAAGCCAGTTGACCCCTCAGCCTGAGCCTCCTGGGCATTATGTCTTGTTCCCTTTGCCATGGGTCAAAGCTTTTGTCTTTATTTGGAATCTTGACTTTACAGATTTCCTTTATTATCAGGTTTATTTTAAGCCAATTCTTTAATTTAAAATTTACAAGAGTGGGAGAAGTACTTGTCTCGGCCTAGAAAACTAAATTTGTCATGTAAACAAAGTATGTATTTCCTAGGACTGTGATGGCTGGGAGCTGAGTTAATAATAATTAGAAAACTCAATTGTCTTTGAACCTCCTAACCCCGCTCAGCCTCGAGGAAGGTGGGCAGCTTTGCCTTTACTGTGCGCTGCTGTAGTTAGAGTCAAGCTCTGCGCTCTGTTTCTTTACTTCAGTAAGGTCTTTAATTTTCTTGAGTAAAATCTTTAAGGCATCCTGTTTATCACTACTATAGTTTTGTTGTTTTTGTTTTATAAAGCATTCGATCACGTCACTTTCCTTCTCAGAAATATTCTGGGCCTGAGTGTTCTGTGGTGTAGGCCCTCTCTGGGCAATGTAGATCAGTAAGTACAACTTGTGTAAAAGGTAAACTTGCAGAGCCTTTGTACCCCCAAAGTTCAATATTTAAGAATTTATTCTGGCTCCACGCCTGTGGCTCAAGTGGCTAAGGTGCCAGCCATATACACCTAACGGTGGTGGGTTCGAATCCAGCCTGGGCCTACCAAACAACAATGATGGCTGCAAACAACAACAACGACAAAAAAATAGCCAGGCGTAGTGGCGGGCGCCTGCGGTCCCAGCTACTTGGGAGGTGGAGGCTCGCTTGAGCCCAGGAGTTTGGAGGTTGCTGTGAGCTGTGATGCCACGGCACTCTACCCAGGGGGACAGCTTGAGGCTCTGTCTGAGGTTGCTGTGAGCTGTGATGCCACGGCACTCTACCCAGGGGGACAGCTTGAGGCTCTGTCTCTCTCACACACACACACAAAAAAGAATTTATTCTAAGGAAATGGTATAAATATATACAGATAAGGGCATTCACCGCAGTATTATTTATAACAGCCAAAAATTGAGGTGATTTTAGGATTGGAGTGTTAAGAGGGCTGGATTATCTAGCTAGTATAATTACATGTGTTGTGAATGACTTATAAAACCAATCAACTCTATAACAAAATTTATAACACACATAGTAGAACTAGATATTCCTATAAGACAGTATAGATCCACTGGAATATATATTGCCTATTACAGTGCTTGTTATTCATTTAATAAATATTAGACACCAACTCAGTAGGTGTGAGACATTGTTTAAAAGCTAAAGATGTAGGCTCAGTGCCCGTGGCTCAAGTGGCTAAGGCACCAGCCACATACACCTAAGGTGGCAGTTTCGAATCCAGCCCGGGCCCGCCAAACAACAATGACGGCTGCAACCAAAAAATAGCCGGGCATTGTGGCAGACGCCTGTGGTCCCAGCTACTTGGGAGGCTGAGGCAGGAGACTCACTTGAGCCCAGGAGTTGGAGGTTGCTGTGAGCAGTGAAGC